GAGGATGATGCGTTGGATCCGGAGGTTAGTGGGATGGTACGTGAGGATGAGGGGGATTCTGTTTTGGTTGTTATTGTGGGGAAGGGGTGTGAGGGATGAGTTGCAGGAAACTGAGGTTGAGGGCATTTTCAACCACTGTGGAGGGGAAGTTGCAGTCCTTGAAAAACGATGACATCTGGGATGTCCGGGATTGGAATGCCTCATCTCGGTCAGTCCTCTCAGCCCTCATGGTGGCCTGCTTAACAAGGTTAGATCACACGGAATACAGGGAGAACTAGCTATGTGAGTACAGAACTGGCTCAAAGGTAGAAGACCTTTGGTGGTGGTGGAGGGTTGCTTTTCAGTCTAGAGGCCTGTGGCCACTGGGTCCACTGCTTTTTGTCATTTATATAAATGACTTGGATGTGAACATAGGAGGTATGGTTAGTAAGTTTGCAGATAACACCAAAATTGGAGGTGTAATGGACAGCAAAGAAGGTTACCTCACAGTGCAATGGGATCTTGATCAGATGGGCCAATGGTCTGAGGAGTGGCAGTTGGAGTTTAATTTAGATAAATGTGAGGTGCTGCATTTTGGAAAGGCAAATCAGAGCAGGACTTATACACTCCATGGTAAGATCCTGGGAAGCATTGCTAAACAAAGAGACATGAGTGCAGGTTCACAGTTCTTTGAAAGTGGCATCACAGGTAAATAGGATAGGTAGATAGGAAGAAAGCATTTGGTATGCTTGCCTTTATTGTTCAGTGCATTGAGTATAGGAGTTAGGAGGACATGTTGCAGCAGTACAGGATATTGGTTAGGCCACAATTGGAATACTGGGTGCAATTCTGGTCTCCCTGCTGTAGGAAGGATGTTATGAAACTTGGAAGAGTTCAGAAAGGATTTACAAGGATGTTGCCAGGGTTGGAGGGTTTGAGCTATAGGGAGAGGCTGAATAGACTGGCGCCGTTTTCCTTGGACCATCTAGGATATCTAGGCAGCATGGACGAGTTGGACCGAAGCGTCTGTTTCCATGCTGCATATTTCTATGAGTCTATGATGAAGGACTGGAAACGTTCAGCCTGCTTTCATTCCCACAGATAATGCCTGATACCAAGTTTCTCCAGTCATTTCTGTCTTTGTTAAAGCAGATCCAGCAGTGGCTTTCGAAACAAAATGGCTCAATACTTGTGGGCTATGGGAGGGAGTTGGACTAACCATGCCGTTCCTTCAAAGAGTCAGCACAGACACTATGGGCTGAATTACATCCACCCACCACCACCACCCCCAAACCAAGCGTGTGATTCTATTAGAATTCATGAAGTAATTATAGGACCTCAGCTTGCCTTCAAATTGCCCAAAATGTTTAAAGTCTTTAAAGCGTTAGTTGTATGAGAAGTCCTAATTATTGCCTGTGCTGGTGGATTACAGAACACGAGAAAATCTGAGTTGATGTAGGAACTTGCTTTTTTTACACACGTTTTAGCTAGCACCTATGCATGGTGATAGCAGAGACTCCAAATTTCTGTCCATCACATAGTTGACCAGGCATTTCTCCAGCCTTTACCACCTGCTTTTGCAATCCATATTGAACACATTCCCTGTAGATGTCTCACTTCTATCCTGTAGCAGTTCCAAACATTATGTTTTTCTTTTACGATTGTATTGTTATGAATAATATATCTTCATACTGTTGACATATGACACGCCACAGAATATTTATGGATAAAATGTTCAAAATCTGCTATATGTCAACATGTCTGAAGTCACTTTGGACTGACTGCCTCAGAACAAAATAGCAGTAAATCAGAATTCAGGAAATGTGAAACATCCAGGATTAAAAAAAAGGCATGGAAATGGGCAAATAATACTATTTTAAATCTATGAAGGATTAATGGGGCAGCATGGTGCCTCAGTGGATAGCACTGTTGCCTCACAGCACCAGGGACCTGGGTTTGATTCCACCCTCGGGCGACTGTCTGGGTTTCCTCTGGGTGCTCCAGTTTCCTCCCACAGTCTAAAAATGTGCAGGCTAGGTGGATTGGCCATGCTAAATTGCCCATGGTGTTCAGAGATATGTGGGTTATAGGGGATGGGTCAGGGTGGGATGCACCTAGGGTCAGTGTGGACTTGTTGGGCCAAAGGGCCTGTTTCCACACTGTGTGAAGTCTAATTAAAACTGTATCCTAAATGAACAGTCAAGAGAAAATGATGATAAAGGAAAGTAAATAAGACAAAGCATAAAAATGAAAGTAAATTTATGGAAGTTTATTTTACCATAAGAAGAGATAAATATTATATATTTCAGATTAACATTTTTAAACATGAACCATACAGGTATCTTTCATGTCTTTCAGTATCAGTCTATTTGCAAGTCAAGCAAAAGCATGAATTTGTATTTGATATAATGGGCTAGGCTGAATCTCTGCTTGTTGAAGGTAGGTCCTGCAGTTGAGTTTGAGCAGTGTATACAATTTCCAAGTGTACATCCATAGCATTTATTTAGATTTGACAAAAAAAAGCCTTCTTGGTCTCTGAGCAATTCATTCATGCCAGCCATTGTTGCTCCTCATTCATCACAGAAGGTTGCAATATGTTTCCTCTTTGAAGGTACCACATTCTTTGCTATCAGGGTTTTCCTATTATTGTGTTAGATGGAGGATACCAGAATACTGGTCCAGCAATGATGAACAAAAGGTGATCTAGGTTAAAATCACAGAATCGTTAAAG